GAATGTTGCATTCTATCCATGGCCCACAGTCAACTCGCTTCCTTCTTCATGAGCATCCTGTGCCTTCTCCTCAGGTCTGCACCACAGGTGTGCCTCGGCTTCAGAAAGCCCCCGATGACTGGCGTCCGTCCAGTGTGGGGTCTCACTTTGACAGAAGTGAAGCCTCGCCAGGTGACATTTCAACAGCCAACGGCTCCGCGGACATGAAAGTCACGTTTAAAAAAGATCAAGTGGACAAGCACCTTTTAGGAAGACATCTACTCTCCGAAATGAGATCTGTAACCCTGGACCCATGGTCCTTGGTGTTCGTAGGCAGAGATCCATCTGTGTCCCTGTGCCAATAGACCTTGGTGTCCCTGGAGACCAAGACCCTGATTCTGCAAGCCAAGTGGCTCATCCCCTCAAGGAATTTGGTTGTGTCAAAGAGGTAGTCATAACTTTGCCCCCTGCTTGTTCCACCACATTCATGGGGCATATTTGCAGCCAAGGTAAGTCCACGGGTACCAACATCCCATCGACTCCCCCTCTCCCTGCCACACCCGTTGAGCCTGCACGTCAACTCAGGCAGCTACTTGTCCATCACGATTGCAGGGTTCACACCCTGTGCCTGCCGGAACCTCTTACTAAACCATGCATAGTCATTAATGAAGGACATTAAAGAAGGAATTTTGACATTCATAAGAGCCCGGATCACGGGACACTCTTGTGAAAGAGGGAGTTCCACAGGACTGGTTGGAGAAACGGATGGCTCAGGTTGCCCAGAAGGCTGTGGTTCCTGGGAGCACCGGCCGAGCCTGTCTGCTGAGAGCAGAACCAGGGCGTGCGGGTGGAGTCCTGTGTGAGTGGTTCGGAGATGGAGCAGGCCCCGCTGCCAGCACAGACTGTCACCCGGTCAGAGAGGGATGCTGGCGGCTGTGCCTCTGGACAGGGGACACGTGTGCTTCTGAAGGTCCCCTCCTGTTGAGGAGACTGAACCCTGCCCCGTACTCAGCCCTTCCCCCCACCCCTCAGCGCTATTCTTATGCATCATCACCAACACCAGTGTCATTTTGTTTTCGTCCTAAGAGTTGGAGGTGTTTGGGGAAGTCTCTCTGACGAGCTGTTTCCAGGGGTGGCTCGCTGTTAGCTGCCATCAAGGGGCCCTGACTGAGGACAGCATCCGGCATTAATGGAGCCAGCATGGATTGGGCTGGACTGGACAGGACAGTGTGATCCCAGTTTCCATTGACTGGGGTTCAGAGAGCACATCGCCAGGCCTTTCTTCCTACCCTCTTAGTCCAAAAGCTCCTCTGAAGCCTATTCTGCATCTTAGCAACACAGAGGCCTGGTTGGGTGGGGGGGGGGGGGGGGGGTGGGCAGGTGGAGGCAAGGCCACAGGTGCATCCGCTGGGGACTGCACTGGGCACCGCTCTGGTTCCTGCAATACTTCTTGCCGGAGGCCTTCCCTCAGTTGTTGCAGCTCCCAAGTCAGAATGAATCTCCTCTTCCTCTCAGTTCCCACAGCACCGGGAGGTTTTTCTCACAATCTTGAGGTTTGGGGTCCTCCATTGTAAGCCCTGAAACTGTCTTCTCTCCTCCAAGGACCCCAGGGCAGGACCCGGTCTCACTCAGCTCACATTCTCCAACATAAATCTCAAACCAAACCTGCTGGCATCAGTCCATCTCAGTTCATCAGCGAGCCACGATAGAATTCCCAAAGCTGTACATCTTCACGGGCGCAGCCAGCCTCATCCTTCTCCCTCAGAGCTGCTGGGGGGTGTGAACCACCGACCTGGTGGTTCGCAGTAATCAACTAACTCACTGCCTCCAGTCAATTCTGACTGGTGGTGATCCATAGAATGGGGTACAGCTGCCTTTGTAGAAAGCTCTGTCTCCCACGGAGCAGCTGGTAGTTTCAAACGGCAGGCCTTGAGGACTGTAGCCCGACTCATTACCATTACACCACCAAGGGTCCCCTCGCCGTGATCAGGAGCCTTAAGTTAAAATGTCCCCTTGCGCCATACAATTTTGATTTTTAGCACTTCGTCTAAGGAGATAATCAAGTGTGGACAAACATGCAGGAAAGGGCCCATTGGTTCATCCTTCGAAGTAGCTTTCCTTTTGTAGCTTCAAGGAGCCCTGGTGGCGTCGTGCTTACACGCTGGGCTGCTAACCACGAGGTCAGCAGTGCGAAACCACCAGCCGCTCCCTGGAAGAGAGACGGGGCTTTGCACTCCCATGAAGAGCTGCTTTTCTACTCTGCCCTCTACAGTTGCTGAGTCAGAATGGCTCGAGGGCCGAGAGGCTGATTCTGGTGAGTGGCTTCACCTACTGTCATCAAATCAATTCTGACTCAAAGTGACTGTGTGAAGCATTTCCAAGTCACCTTGAGTCAGAATTGATTTGATCACAGGTGCAGACAGCCTCCTCTTCCTCCTAAGGAGCAGCTTCGTATGGCCCCCACCCACTCAGCCACTGCCAACGAGTCTATTCTCATAGTAGCCCTAGATATGGTCCCCAGGTTGTCACTCTTCATGGGAGCAGAAAGGCAGCTGGTGGGGTTGAAAAGCCGGCCTTGTGGTTAGCAGTCCAATCTTGAACCTACAGCACTGCCAGGACTCCTTGGGGAACTCACCGGGTCTAATATCTAATCTAATGGCACCCAGAGTATTAGATACCAAGTAGACACTTGTTCAAAGGACCAATCCTCACTTTGCCCTTGCAAACAACGCATAAGCTCTCTGCACCGTCTCAAAGGGCAAGTTTGGGCAGCTTACATGAGCCAGAGGTAGGCCGTGCAGGAGCCCTGGTGGCATAGTGGTTGCATGTTGGGCTGCTAACTCCAGGGTCAGCAGTTTGAAACTACCAGTTGCTCCTCAGGAGAAAGGCCGGGCTTCCTGCTCCCAGAAAAAGTTCCGGTCTCGAAAAGTCACAGGGGCAGGTCTACCCCGTCCTGCAGTTACTGAGTCGGAATTGACTGGGTGGCAGAAGGGTTGGGTATGGTGGATGGAGGTTAAATTGCTCAGCTCAACAGTTCAACCCCCCCAGCGGTCCCATGGGAGACAGTCGGCTTCTGCCAGGGTCACAGCCTTGGAATCCCCAGTGGGCAGTCCTGCTCGGTTGCACGTGGGTTGCACGTGGGTTGCATGTGGGCACTATAAGTCGACCTGACTGGAGTCCAGAGCAGTGGGGTGGGGTTTCGGAAGGGCGTGTTCCTGTAAGGTGTTCATTTGGCAGTCAATGGGGAAGAGCTACACAACACAACACCCAAGTCCATTGCTCTTGCGTCAATTCCAATTCACAGTGACCCTGCACAGAGTAGAGCTGGCCCTGTGGGTTCCTGACACTGTGACTCTTTACGGGCGTAGAAAAAGCCTCGTCTTTCTCCCACAAGCAGCTGGTGGTTTTGAACTGACTTGTGGTTAGCCCAACGTTTAACCCACTACCCCACCGGGGCTCCAGGAAAGGGTTTAGTTGCCTTTAACTAGCCACACCTGTCCCACTTAACCTTTCAACCCTGTGGCATTTCTCTTTGAAGGTACGAAAGGGTGCCCCTGTGATTGGTTAGAGGTGACGTAGGAACCCCAGGATAGTCCTCGCTGCCTGTCTGTCACACATGTGATGATTAACCTTGCTGCCTGGCTGGGTTCTGCCAGAAGATACGGCCTGCTGTTTATTTCTGCACCCCGTTTCGACTCAAGTCCCCTCAACCCACAAAAGACCCAAGGGGATGATACCCAAGCAAACCCAGCACTGACATCTCAGGGATTAAGCCAAAGAAAGGCCATTTTTTCTTTTCAAAATCCTGTATTTACGTGGTACATGTAACACGAGACAGCTGGAGGCGTATGGCTCCCAGAAGGCCACTTGTTCTGATTTCCCTGGGGAAGTGGGGTGAAGAACTCCCACATGACAATGGGACCAGCAAGCTGTGTGTGTGTGTGTGTGTGTATGGGGGGTGATTTCTGCCACCATCTCTTGTCGGGCAGCCTCTTTTCAGAGTGCAGGACATGCTGGCCCACGGTGGTAATGGGTTGGCGGCAGGCTGGTGGCCGTTAGGAAAGAGACATGCCATCCACCCGGCGATGCCGTGTTCTTCCCCCCCAGCAGCGGCACCTGGGAAGGAGGAGATTGAACAGCACGTTTCTGGGACAGCGCCGCCTGTGTGCACACCACGCATGTCTAGTGTGTGACTTACACATTAGTGAGTTTGGGGCCTCATCCACCCCTCCTCCCAAACGGCAGATCACCCAGATTGTCCCGTCCACCATCTTGAACCCTCTGCTTGGGGTCACGAATACGTAGGGCAGGTTATCAGCCGTGGTGAAGCGTCACGGTCCAGCTTGGCCCACAGCGCAGCTCCTGCCCTCAGGACAGCTCAACAGCGGCTGAACATCCTTATCAGATCCTCCTCAGAGAAGCTACTGGGTTGAGTCTGTGTGCTTTGGCATTACATCTTCATCCGCAGGCCCACTGCAGGCAGGCAGCGACGTGGGAGGACAAAATTGGCACGAGGCACTTCAGCAAAAAGGTGTGGAGGGGAGGCGAAAATGTATCACGGGAGAGTTATCTGGGGGGAAAGAGGCACTTTTTTGGGGGGAGTTTTAGTGTCACAGCTTCCCAACCCAGGGTTGGCCCGACCAAGGGCCCTCACTTGGTACCGGGCCCATCCCTCAGGCTGGGGGCCATGATGTCCCCGACTCCCGCTCAAGAGAGCAGCCGGAGCAGCAGGGGGCAGTCTTTCCCCAGAGAGAAAATCCCATTTCCTGCATGGAGCCCAAGCCCCCTGCCAGGGAGCGCCTGGGCACAAGAGAATGAAGTGCCTTGGGAGAGATGAGTGGAAGCCCATTGACCAAGCAAGAGATGGCTCTGGGGATGGCTGTCTGCTGACGCCCAACTACAGAGCAACAGCAGGGTTTAAAAACAAAACCTGAACTTGGATTTCCCAGGGTACATCTACCCCATACATGTTCTCCTTGTTGGGATGAGACCTTGAAGAAGTGACTCAGGACCAGCAGACCTTTGGATCACTCTTTATTGTGCTATTGCTCACACTGCCAGTCTCAGGGTCGAGAGTCGCACACACAGAGACATTGCTGGGGCTTAGAACCAAAACAAGGGCCGCAGGAAGGATCCGTGCGCATCAGCAACCTCTTCGACGGGGGTCACGCCAGTTCGTCTTCTCAAAAGGTACCGCGGGGGATGCCGCTGCATTTTTCAGTGGGCTTCGGTCAAATCAACTGCGATCATTTTGTATAAATATTGCCCAGTGTCCTGCTCTCTGGTTTGGCAGGTGGGGTAACAGAGATTGAAATCATCACCCAAGAGGAGCAGCTCTAGGAAGGGCTTGCCTGACAGCAGGGGGTCTTCCTCCTCCACCATCATGCTACAGATCTCGGCCAGAATTTGATATAAAACAGCCTAAAAACAGCCCAGTGGTAGGTCACGCGGGTCCCAGCCTTCCTGCTATCCTGCTATCACGATGAAAAGGGTCCTAAGGGGGTGATGCCTCTTTTGCTCAAAATGATTCTTCTCAGGGAGATGTCAAAGGCCAAGATTACCCCAATGATAAGGCTGCATACAGGGGCCTTCAGAAAGTTTGTGGGGAAAGGGAATTGCAAGGTAAGCAGACTTCCTCATGCACTTTTTGAACCCCCTCCCACCCCAGCCCCCATCAACAGTCAGGAGAGGGCAGCTCTCAGCTTGAACACACTGGAGGGGGAGGGAAGGGCTCACGTCTCCCCAGGTGTGCACAGGAGGGTGCGGATGGTTACAAAACACAGCTTCTGTGGTTGAGAAGCTGTATCTTGAAAGAGGCCTTGCTAACGGTGTTTAAACTAGTGTTTAAGCAAAAAACGAATGATACCTGCTTCTTGTTTTTAAGGACTGAGGGGAGAAGCCGGGGGAGAGGGTGGGAGGACCCGTCTGGTACCCGCAGAGCACTCACTCTAGTGGGATCACTGTGTCTAACGGGTGACTTGTTTTCCAGAGAGGCTGAATTAACGATCTCTAAGTCTTCCGGTATGGGAGGCAGCCCCGATTGCTGATGAGAAACAGATTGGCGGGAAGGAATTAAACAATGAAAGAGCAACGTCGGGGTGATTTTGTCTGGGTCTAAGTCAATGTCAGGGCGAGCACGTCAAGGTCCTTATCAGGGAGGCATGCCCTATTTCTGCCCGGCCCCAGGAAGGATTTACGCCATTGTTCTTTGATGGCAGCTGAGAAGTGGCAAAGGAAGCTGACTTAGGGCTGGCCCCACGTCTGGCTGGGGCAGGAGAGAGCCAGGCATCCAGTGAACCCCAGATGTACCCCTGTGGTTGCTCACTGTTGATGGAGGCTAGGCCCCACTTGCCTGAGGAGGTGGGAGCAGGCAGTTGGTTTCCTGAATGAGACAAGGATGGTGATGGTGCCCGGAATCCCACAGAACACACAGAGGAGGCCAAGCAGATGCCAACATCAGCGGGAATGCCTAACAGCAGCAAGGACCTGTCACAGAGAAGGGTCTTCCCGTGGGCTCACCGCCCTGCCTCGGGCGGCAGAGTGGCCTTGCCACCTGCCAGGCATGGTCTGATTTGATCACAATTGAGTCACCGTGCGTGGGGAGTGCAGTTTTCCGGGATGCCGCCCATTCTGCTGGACCAAAGTTCCAGTCTTTACAACATGTTGGGCTGCTCTCCCACCAGCCTTCATGTCACATCTGTCTCTGTGGGCCAGGGCCTGTGGCTCACCCTAAATTGTACCCCAACTCCTGCCAGCCTTTGACTAGATCCAACACACGTGTAACAGGCACCTTCGGGGATGCTAAAGAACTTGACTGTGGCGTTTGCTCGGGTCCAATGGAATCGCAACTCTTACAGACTAGTGGTCCCTCCATGTGGTTTTGGTTCCTTGGATACAGCAGTATCATGTATCTCAGATATCAGCATCAGACACGCAGGTTTACGATTTAAAAAAAAATGCATCGTCAAGACTTGCCCACCCAGCCCGGTTCCTGGGCCTTGGCTCTCATGTCATGTGGGCTCCTTCCCAGCTCCCTGAGGCTCACAGTAGCCCCAGAAACCTGTGCAGCATCGGCACGAACGTGGTGGCACAGATGGCAACAGACGTGTAGGTAACAAACTTGTAAGGCACTTCGATCTCCAGTCTCCGCCTGGCCTCCTTGTTCCTGATGACTACCCGGAACCACGAGTATAAGACTTGCAGCGAGAGGTTTTGGACAAGTTGGCGGACGAAAAGGGTCACCACAATCCCCACGGTAAATTTGACTAGACCCAACGTGAGCGCGTCCACGGTGAGCAGAGGGATGTTCTGAATGATGGGCAGTGGGGTAGGGGGCTTGGACACCAGCTGGAAGAAATGGTTGATCCAGCAGCCTGTGGTCACTCCGGCCCCGACAGCGAGGATGGTGGTGGTATCTGCTCTGGTGGGGCTGTAGTATTCAGACATGGGGTAGTTGTAACACAAGAAGAAAAGCACGATTATGAGGCACACGGGGAAGAGGGGGCTGGCCGAGTCCAGGTGGTCAATGAGGGTCCAGGCAGGGTAGGTCAGGGCAATGAACAGTGCCGTGATCAGGACGCCACCGACCACGTCCTGTGAGAAGGAAAGAGAAAAGACAAAGGTAAGTGTGAGAGGCGGGCAGTGAAGGAGCTCTGGGGGTGTAGTGGTTGCCTAGCCACCAGCCCCTCCTCGGGAGAAAGACAGGGCTGACTCCTCCTGTAAAGAGTTACAGACTAGGGACAGTTCTACGCTGTCCTGCGAGGTGACTAGTCAGAGTTGGTTTGGTGGCACCGTAGGCGTCGTGTGAGAATGCTAACCGACAAAACGGCCAGCAGTTCAAACCCACCTGCTCTGTGGGAGAACGACAGGCCGTCTGTTGCCGTCAACAGTTGGAACCTGGGCACCCACAAGGGCTGATCTTCTCTGTCCTACGTGGTTGCTATGAATCAGAATCGCCTTGGTGGCAGTGAGGGAGGGGTGAGGGGGTGTTCACTTATAGATGGGAAGAGTTTTGACTCAAACAGAATTGATGTATTGTAAAATATATATAGTGTCTAACTTATTTTATCGTGCATGTTGGGTAAACTTGTAAAACTATAACAACAGAGACACACAGACATCACCAAGCTATCCGCGGTTGTGTATTTTCTCTCGGTTCTGCCCTTTGGAACAAATTTCATTTTCTTAATGCGTAGCTATGACAACACTGTCCCTACAGTCTCATTTTTCAAGTGTTTTTTAAAAATTTTATTGGGAACGAATACAGATATCATACCATTCATCCAGCAGTATTGTACAACCTCTACCACAATCGATTTCAGAACATCTTCCTTCGTCAGGGCCTCTTGACCACCCCTCCCCCACTGTGCCCCCCAGGAACCCTTATTCTACGTGCTCTTTCTACAGGTTCATCAGTCCTGGGTTTCATATCCTGAAAAACAGAACAACCTCTAACTAACATTCAAGAAGGCGACCCTGAATGACAAAGCACATCAGAGTTAAACCCCAGTATGAAAAAAATAAAACAAAAGAGCCCACAGAAAATGTTGAAAACCAGATCAGGCCCAACGTGTATCAGAGGGGGAATCGAGTGACAAGGTTTTAACCCTTCAAGTCAAGTTGATCATTTGGCTCTCCTCTGGCCATCTCGCCACTGCACTCTGTGTGGGAACCGGTCTGTTCTCATCGCTCAGTTATGAATGCAGGGAAAGCACCAGAGGTTGAATTCCTGTGTAGATCTCGCACGTGCATCTTGGGCTTCCTTCCACGGTCAGCCACAGCCTGAGTGCTTTAGTTTAGCATTTCCTCACCGGCGTTGACAGTCTTCCAATAGATGCCGCCATCCTTTCCACACAGGCAGGGCCCAGGGCTGAGGGGGCACCCTGGCTGGAGGACAAGTGCCCACTGGGGGAGCCTGATCACACCGCCAACACCTGTGGTTCCCTGTCCAGGAACCAACTGGCTGCCATCCAGTAGGCTCTGACTCCCGTGATCTCAGGATGCCAGAGCACAAGTGTGTCCCAGAGGGTTTCCGGATGTAGATCGTCATTCCTTTCTGCTGAGGTACCTCTGAGTAGCCTCGAACTTCCAGCGCTGTGGTTAGCAGCGCTGAGCACACTAACTTATGCTGCACCAGCCAGGGCCTGACAATGTTACGCAGCGGCAATAAGAGAGGACGCTAGCTTTTCAAATTTGGGGGAATTTCTGTTAGGGATGGGGTACCAAGGAGCCCTGTTGGCGTAGTCCTTATGGCTTGCACTACTAACTGCATGGGCTTTCTACTCCGGTCAAGAGTGACAGTCTCCGAAACCCACAGGGGCAGCTCTCCCCTGCCCTACAGGGTCGGCATCCACTCGAGGGCAGGCAGTTCGGAGCTTTGGGGAGGTGCAGCATGGACCTGGAGGTGCGCGGGGAAATGCACAGTGTCCATGTCGTGTTTGATGACGCTCTAGGCGCGGAGACCCCAGAACCTGACTCCTTCCACTCATCCTTCATCCCCCCTCGCCTTTCCCTCACAGACTCCCTCCATCAGCCCCAGCGCAGAGGGACCACGGGACTGCCCAAGGGCCAGCCTTTCCTTGTACTTCCTGTGGCCAGTTCTGCCCCAGAGCAATCACTGACCACTACCTCCTGGGTAAGTCTCCGCAGCCGTCAGGTGCAGGAGAATCACCCACACAGACTGCTCCCGGATGCTGACCTGCACGGCCCCAGAGTCTGCATTTTAACACCGGGTGGTGTTAAAACCTTCACGTGTGGCTACGGGTGGAAATGCAAAACCTTCACGTGTGGCCACAGGTAGAAATGCCCTCTTCCCCCTCTTCAGGTGCTGGATGGTCAGGCACGGCATGACAGCACCCTGACCTTGGATTGCCTCGCTGGCTTTCGACTTTCTTTTTCTAAAAAGTGCATTCCAGTGGCTGTTACTGAGACAATATAGCAAGGCCTAAGTGGGGGCTTTGAAAGGTCTATGGAAAAATGGAATTCCAAGAAAATGGAATGTTCCCACAAGTGTTTGGAAGCCCCCGTGACCCTCAATAGTTCCTGGGTGAACAGTTCAGAGATGATGCTTTCTTTTCTCAGTGTTCCTCCCTCGTGAAGGTTAACTCATGGCGCCCTAAGGCTTCCGTTTTACCCCTGGGCCAACTGTTGTCCGTTTGGTTCCACACACGGGTGAATCTTAGGCAGCCCTGCTAAGTGGTGGGTTAGGCCTGGGCTGCTAATGCCACGGTCAGCAGTTCCAACCCACCAGCCTGGTCCTGCGCCATCCTCACCACTGTACCTTTGTTTGAGCCCACTGTGCCCACTGTTGCAGCCGTGGTGTAAACCCATCTCCTGGAGAGCTTTCCTCTCTTACACTGCCCCTCCCCTTTACCAAACACGATGTCCTTCTCCAGGGACTGGTCTCTCCTGACAACACATCCAAAGCACGTGAGAGATGAAGTCTCACCCCCTTGTCTCTAAGGGGCACTCTGGCATGCCCAAATTCAACAGCCCAATGACTACTACCTGATCCCAAGAGCCCTAGTCAATGAAGAATCCTGCTCTTCTCCAGTGAGCGCCTCAGGAGACCAGACTGCTTTGGTCCTGAGCCTCGGCAGTTGAGGCAAATATCATCTTAGCCAACGTGGCTGTGGGCATAGATTTTACCCCTTCTGACCACACAGTCAGAGTTTCAGCTCTCAAAGGGGGTATTATAATAAAGCCTTCTAGGTGTTTCTGTCGGGAAAATAGAAATGATTGCTACTCTGGGGCCATAAGCTTCTTATAATAAAGTCTTCCAGATGTCTTCTAAAAACAATGACTACAATGCTTGAGAAATTCAAGAATACTTTTGTACATGAGGGTTTTTTTTATTCAACCACGGAATTCTCAGGTGGGATAGAAGCTCGCTGCATCACATCTCCATCTTTGATTTGGGTCTGCCGAGATGGTTTCCCCAAACCCCAAACAAGGAGGTTGTTTCGTGGGGAGGACAGAGTCACGTGTCTGGCTGGGTCCTGGGAGCCGAGTGAAAAGGGTGCAGGGAAGAGCAGAAGGCCGTGCAGGGTGGGGCAGGTCGCCCACGAGAGCAAAGAGTGCAGGAGGGAGCCACAGAGGCGGGCGGGAGGGCACTGCTAGAGACAGACTCCAGTTAGTGGCAACAGGCTTGGCTGGTCTTTAACAGGTGGATGCGGGAGAGAAGGGAAGCAGGCGTGTGCTTTGGATGGAAACAAGAAGTGAAGACAGTCAGAGAGACCAAAATAAAACAAAATGCCGCACAAACCAAACCCATTGCTATCAGGTCAAATTCCAGCTCAGCAGAGCCCTATCAGATAGGGTAGCCCTGCCATAGAGGGTTTCCAAGGCTGTCGATCTTTCCAGCCGCAGACTGCCACATCCTCCCAAGCAGCAGCTGGCTGGGTTTGAACTGCCAAGCTTTTGGTCAGCAGGGAGCGCTTGACTTTCTAAACCACCATGGGGTTGCCATGAGTCGGCACTGATGCGATGGCGGCATGGGGGTGGTTTGGGAGCGCTCTATCTCCAGACATTTAAACCAAAAATCAATTCTGACTCATAACGACCCTGTAGGACAGAACAAATCTGCCCTGTGAGTTTCTGAGACTGTCAATCGTCCCAGGAGTAGAAAGCCTCATCTTTCTCCCGAATTCAAACGCGAAGACCCAATTATTGTAGACCCTGCCCCCACCCCCATACCCCAGTTAGGAATTTGTTCTAAGAGGAAAAAAAAAAACAAGGTGGGCACCAATGTTTGCATTTAGGGATGGTTCCTGCTGGGGTACTTTCACATATACCAAGTAAGCCCCAAAATTCAATACATGTGTGCTCCGCTACAGAAAAACCAGAAAACACAAACAAATGACATAAAGAACGAAGTACACAGCCTAAAATGGACCAAAATCTGGAAGGCTACAAATCCAGCACATTTTAATGTTGTTTATACCAAAAGTGAGCCCCAAACAGCACCATATTCTTCCTTAATGAGACAGCACAAATCTGTCCCCTTTGAAAAGGTAGCATTCTACAACCGTATCTGCCTATGGTTGCACTAGGTGAGCTGTAACAAGAACGAAACCAGCTCTTCTGTAACGAGTGGGTCCACCTGTATGTCAATGTATCCTTGCACATCGGAGCAAATATCAGAAGGAAACAAACGACAATGTTTCCAGTGGCTGGTCCGCTTCTATCAGGATGTGATGTGGACTGTTTTCTTTTATTATGCATCGCAGTTCTTTCTCAAATTTGCCCCCGTCGGCGCTCGTTGGTATTAATATAACACAAATAGACCAAAGAGAAGATCTCAGGAGGGTAAAGCCAAATCAGAACGGCTTGAAGTAGACAAACACAACAAGAATGAGCCAATGCTGCTCATTGTCATGAGGAAGCAAGATCAGCAGTTCGAAACCACCCGCTACTCCTTGGGAGAAAGATGGGCGTTCTCTTCCTTCTCAGCAGGCATTACCGTCCCAGGGGCTGTTCCCCCCTGTCCCATGGGGTCGCTATGAATAGGCAATGACTTGCTGGCAGCGAGTTTGTCCTTGTCACAAATGCCAACGCTCTACAATAAATCAGCATGGCCCTCAGGACTACCCCCG